GCTCTGTCAAGCAAGGTTTCAAACGTAGAAGACAAGAATGACACAATGTGTGACCACAGTGCAGTAACCTTGGTACTTTTTCACCGTCTACGGTGAACACATCTTCGCAAACGCGACATTCTAGCACCTACAACAATTAGCAATTGTAGTATATGTTAGAAAATCGACGGTTTTCAACTATTTGGAGCTCTTTCACTTACGTGTGTTCTCACCGGAGGTTTCAAAGTTTGATTAAAACCTTTTTTGGAGCGATCTACGTCTTTTGCCATGGTAGATTTCCTTTTATCGTAATTAAATGTGAAATAACGCAGAAATGATGCCAGTGTAATGCTGGAAAGATCGAACATGTTGTGTATGTTCATATATCCTGAAATACTGATAGTGAGAAATAAAATAGAGAATTTGCTACACACTCTACAGTTTAGAGTGGTGGGTTCAGGAATTACGTTCAATGCAATTATCAGAGTCGGTAAAGTCACCAGATGTGTGCTGCTATAGACGAGAGGTACAGGATAGTTTTAACATCTTATGACTTTGTGTCTACAGCACGCGGGCCGAGAAGACCCTTACCATATTGGCGTCGCAACATTACCGATTCAGGTTGGAATTGGAATTAAATATAATTATGAAATTACAAATAAAAAAGTAACGTAATTGTTTATTAGTAGATGATTCATCACATGCGCATGTTCTACTACTGTAAAAATATTGTGAACAGTTCTACCCAAGCAATCCAATACATGTATGTATCTTTGTATGCAAATTTAATAGAAGAGGACTGTTTCGTTTGATTTTAGTGTAGAGATAGGAAGGATACAGGTTTCAACCAACAATTCGTGTACTGTCCAACAATACATAAAACCGTACAATGTTTTCTTAACTGATAACCGTCAGTGTAGCTCGCTGTGCACGTATTCACGTTCGGGAGCACCGAATCGTGAATACACGCTGGAGCGGCAGCGATATTAAGTAATTCCGTAGTTTCGGATCAGACTTGAGAATACCTTGAATACCTTGAGAATACGTCCGCTGCGGACCGTCGTCCGGCTTTTATACCCCGCCGAGGGACCGCCACAGACGACTCGGATTGGACATTTTCGAAAAAGATCGGTCCAATGGATCGATCGCCGGTGAACGATCGCTCGGCGAAGTTGTTGCCCTGATGACGTGTGTCTCGGCGGTTGGAGCGAGACAGAGTGATGAAGTTTATTGCTCCGCGGTGACAGTTGCCGGCGTCTAGTCCGGACCCAAACATTCGACTTCGTGTGTGAGTGAATGCGTGTGCCCGGAGATTAGACGTCGGCGAGCTAGCTAGTTTTTGCCTGAGCCTAACGACTCAGGCAAAAACTCTCGCCGGCAACCGTCATCGCGCTTGGTTTTTAAATTGCTTTTGTAACAAGGACTTTTTACATCTGTCGACTTTACCATTTTTGATGGTTGAATTGTATATAATTCCTAAAGTCGTCGCTTTATATCGTAGAGGGCATAACAAAAACTCTGATTTTTTACACGATCGGTATTTCAGAACGTTAGACACAAAAATACATTAAGTGCAAGATCTATCCTGTACCTCGTCTGTGCCTACACTTTATTTGAATTTAGTTCTAATTCCAACCACTACTAATGTTGTAATCTTATTCTATGCTGAATCGGTAATGTCAGAAGTGACACGAAAATGGTAAGGCACACTAGAGCTCCCGTGACGTACACAAAAAAATATATTGGATTAGTGGTCTACTCTATATCTCGTCTGTGGTGATATAATTCTTTTGGTTCGCCAGGCAATTCAATTTTTGTTTTTAAATTTCCTATATAAAATTACATCGATTTTTTCGTGCTCTTTTCTAACGATTATCGTTCACTGATTTCTTTATCGATTATTACAGGAATTTTTCCACTATTTTATTGATCGAGTAGTTCTTATTGTAGTTCTGAGCTTATGGTATCGCTCTTGTTTCATCCAGGGCGTTTAAGATATTCCACTTTATTCCTCTGCCCGATTTAGTACCCATAAAGGACAGAGTGTGCTATAAAACAACTTATAATCCATTTTCTGTTTTCTTTCAAATATTACTTTCAAATAGAACTATTCTTTCCTTAAGAGCCTTGCTAAAGATCAATCTTCCATTTTTCTGTCAGAAACAAAACGGTTATTCTCTTAAAAATAATTCTAACGTTTCCCTCTAACCTACGCCAGGTCTCTAATCAGTCTAACAAATTTCCTATAATATCTACCGCCATTAAATTTCCGGTTTAACGATCCAATGGACCCTCTCGTCTTATCTAACGAAAATGAGTACCCTAAGGTCCCGGGGTTTTACGTTTCATCGCGAAAACATTTCAGCAGCGTGC